CAAACCTTCACTATGGGGATGGCTTCACACAAAGAACACAGGACTCTCATGAAAAATTACTTGTGTAAAAGAGTTAACAGTAAAACCTTAAAAAGGCAGGGGGGGTGTGTTTGGATGGCTCAGTTGGTTAAGGGACCCACGCTTGATTTCAGCTGAGGTCATGACCTCAGAGTTGTGAGGTTGAGCCCTGCCTGGAGCCCTGCATCCAGCCCCACATCAGGCTCAGCGGGGAGTGTGCTGGAGATTAAAGAATTAAAAAAAAAACTTACAAAAAAAATGGCACGAAAGAGACTCAGCAGAAAATAGAGGAGAATTGACACTTTAAGAACTACAAATAATAGAACAGTTTGAAAGGTATTTTAAAACAAATGTATTGGACAGATTCAAAAACAGAAACAGTTGTCCTTAAGAGAATACAGATAATAGATTTTTTTTAAGATTTTATTTATTTGAGAGAGAATGAGAGAGAAAACACAAGCAGGGAGGAGGGGCAGAAGAATAGGGATAAACAGACTCCCCACTGAGCAGGGAGCCTGATGTGGGGCTCCATGCCAGCACCCTGGGATCACAACCTGAGCCAAATGCTTGGTTAGATGCTTAACTAACTGAGCCACCCAGGTGCCCCAGATTTTTTTTTTAATTAGAAGTCCTACAAAAGAAAAATGTAGTCATTGAAATAACAATCTAAATTCCTTTGCATGTTTCATAGTGGATGATAGATTGGACTACATCCTGTCTATCTAAAATGAGACTTACTGGTCCTCCCCACCCTTCCATACTTATTCACAGTTAACTGAGTCTGGGACCCTGGGGGTGCTGTCGAGGTCATTACTGCAGATTGGCCTTATCCTGCTACTTGGAATACTATTGATAGTAGCCTTAATTAAATGCTTTAAGAGACAAAGTGAACAGATTTGGTTTCTGCCTTTGTTGATCAAATTAATTAGAGTAGCTGACAGAGTGGTACACTTACATAAATATTTGAGTTCAGCCAAGAACGTGTTGGGTAGATGTTGGGAGAGGCAATCTGCCCTGAACTTTACAGGTATGCCAAGAATGTAGGGCCTTGACTACTCTTTACCTAGGGCATTTCTCAGGGTTGTTTGTGCAGCAAATATTGTCTCCTTCAAAAACAGAGCAGACTTGCTTCAGTTTACCATAAAAGTTGTGAATCACCCAAGCTCGGTGTTTTCTCCTGCAATACAACCACCGCATAAGCAAGCATTCATCTGGGCCCTACCTACATTACACTCTAGGACTTAGAGGGCATGGGGAACCTGCATAAATGTGAAGCTCTGGCTACTGCTCTTGTCGTGAGTAATAAAGCCCCTTTTCTATGACCCAGGAATCTCTGGGTCTTCTGCCAGCATTCATGAATTGGTAATAGGCTCACTTGTAAGCTTGTAAGTGGGGTAAACTCTCAGATTCTGCATAGTTCTTTACAATTGCAACAATCAATTCCAGGTAGTTTTTAAGTCAAAAAGCGAAAAGTAGGGGCACCTGGCTGGCTCAGTCAGTAGAACATGCAACTCTTGGTCTCAGGGTTGTGAGTTTGAGCCCCACAATGGGCATAGAGTATAGTTAATTTAAAAAAATTTTGTTTTTAAGTGAAAGGTAAAACAATACGTTTAGTGAATTTTTGGTAGAAGAAAACATAGCAGAATATCTTCATGAACTTAGGACAGTGAAAGAGTTCATAAACAGAACCCAAAAGAAACTTACCATAAAGAAAACATTAATGTATTGGGCTGCATTAGATTATACTTCTCTTCAACATGACTTGATTAAGAGAATAAAAAGGCAAACCACAGAATGGGAGAATATATTTGTAACATATATAACCAACAGAAAGCTCATATCCAGAATATAAGAGGAACTCCTACATATCAATAAGTAAAACATAGACCCAAAAGAAAGCTTGGCAGGATAGATACTCCTCAAGAGACCATCCAAATGAACAATAAAGAAATGCAAACATGCTCAAATTAATTAATAATAAGGGACTGAAACTTAAAATCACGTTGCATTGCTACCATATATTCATAAATTGGCTAAAATTTAAAAACTGACAATGCCGAGTGTTGACAAGGATATGGATTCCAGGAATCAGTACAATCACTTCAGAAAACTGTTTGGCATTAAGCTAAACATATGCATACCTTATCAGCAAGCAATTCTGCTCCTAGATATATACTTGATCAAAGCACAGGCACACATGCAACAAAAGACCTGTGCAAGAGAATACATATGAATATTATTCATAATAGTAAATTATAAACCACCCAACTGTACAGCAACAATAGAAAAGATAAATTGTTCACACAATGGAATAGTACACAGCATTGAAAATGGACATGAACAAACGGAAAATTAAAATGAACAAATTACAGCTATCTGCAATAATGCAGATGAGTCTTGTAAACATGTTAGCAAAAGAGGGTGCCTGGGTGGCTCAGTCAGCTAAGCATCTGCCTTCAGCTCAGATCATGATCCCAGAGTTTTGGGATTGAACCCCGCATGGTCAATAGGGTGTCTGCTGTACAAACAAGGCTTTATTTTTATCTGAAATGTTTTATTTCTTATGACTTTTCGGCGTTTTGGCTAAGATCAAGCGTGAAATGTTTTATGTCTTAAGAAATATATCTGACACAATATGATAAATAATAAATTTTAAAATTCTAGACTTATGGTGCATGGGTTTTATGTCATCCTATTTTATTTTTATGTATTTTTGAATTTTTTCATTATAAAACAGTAATGTACAAAAAGCAAAAACGAGTAGAAATGAAAGTAAAACTTGATTTCAAAATACAAGTATTATAAATTAAGAATTCTACAAATAGGGGCACCTGGGTGGCTCAGTCAGTTAAGCGTCTGACTCTTGGTTTCAGCTCAGGTCATGATCTCAGGGTTGTGAGATCAAGCCCTGTGTCAGGCTCCATGCTCAGTGCAGAGTGTGCTGGAGATTCTCTCCCTCTTCCTCCCCCCCGCCGCTCCTCCCCTCTGCTCATGCTCGCTCTCTCTCAAATAAAGAAATAAAATTAAAAAAAAAAAATTCTACAAATTTGGTAGAAAAATAACAGAAGAATTAAATACTATCAAACAATCACATATATTCACATAATGTATTTGTGTGCATATACATATACTTGTATGGAGAGAGAGATTTAGACATACATGTATAATAGAACATTACATCTCTTAGAGAATATATATTCTCTGAATACTTGTGGAACAAATACAAATTCAGTCATATATTTGGCCACAAAAACAACTCTTAAAATTTAAGTCAAAAAATAGCAAAATAGGCAAAGGATATGAATAGACAGTTTAGAGAAAAGCACATCCAGAGAGCCAGCAAGTTCATAAAAAGATGTCAAATTTACTAGTAATTAGAGGAATACAAATTAAAGTAATAATAAGATACCACTTTTCACACATGAGATCTTCCAACATTTAAGAGTAGGTAGATCTTAAAAACACTGGTGAGTGAAAAACTAAACAAATCTATGACAAATACCAGATATATAAATTAGAAATACATACAACAAGCATGTTAAAAGGACCCATACAACGAAAGGGTGCACACTAGACATTAGAATGGATTCCTGGAGTGGTGGGGGGGTGGGATTGGGGAGACAACGGAAATAAATGGAAAAATAAATAAAGTGAACCTGTTGCTTCAGGAATGTAGAAGAATATGATACTCCAGTACTGCTGATAGAAATATGAAGTGTCACAGACTTTCTAGAAAACAATTTGACAACGTATGTTAACGTGTCCTAGAAACAGTGGAATGTTCATAAATAGAATAACTAAATAAATCCTCCATGCTCTGAAATATTATATGGCCATTAAGGGAGCATTAAAATTATACTTGATGCTTTGAAGAATTCTGTAAGATATTATTGAATGAAAGAGGGTATAGAAAAGTGAGTATACAGTGAGGCCATTTTAGGAAACAGTGATCCCCCTCATCCCTTTAAATGTGCTAGTGTGTGTGTGTGTGTGTGTGTGTGTGTGTACGTGCACACGCGTGCGCATGTGTATAAAAGCACAGAAAAAAATAACATACACTAGATATTAGTGGGAGGAACTAATCTAATGGAAGGGGGAAGGATAGGATATAATGTATAGTGTATATGTATATAATGTAAAATTATATATGTGGAGGTAGTTGTAGTCAGAGAGTTAAGTAAGATTTATGTTTGTTTAAAGTATGAGTTTCTCAGAAGTTGGAATTTCAGGCTACATGGGAAGTATGTTGGTCATATGGGCCTTGATTACTGCCTGCTCTGGTAACTCTTCTTTATATATATACAATCCTGGCACTAAGTTTGTTATCTCCATGATTTGTACCATTTCTGCAATCGTTGTGGATGTAGTTCTTTCATGATTTCATTATACACAGAATTTTTAAGAAAAATAGTGAAAAGTTTGCTGGATATTTATATTTAATAGATAAAACTTGTTGGGCGTCTGGGTGGCTCAGATGGTTAAGCGTCTGCCTTCAGCTCAGGTCATGATCCCCGGGTCCTGGGATCGAGTCCCGCATCGGGCTCCCTGCTCAGCAGGGAGCCTGCTGCTCCCTCTGCTTCTCTCTCTCTCTCTGTCTCTCATGAATAAATAAATAAAATCTTTAAAAAAAATAGATAAAACTTGTCAGTAAGTAGGCCCTCATCCAATATTTATTTAGGAATATGTAACTGAAATCTTGGTAGTAACTGTGTCTTAGGAATTAGAGAGACTGACTTAGGAAAAAATTTTTTTGTCATTTAGAATGCATTTTAGTAAATGAGGTGTGCTGAGAAGAAAATGTAAAGGAAGAGCCTCAGCCTAACAGAGCGCATGCTAGGCTTTTGAACCTTAGCAAGCTTTAGTTGCAAATACTGATACAAATGTAAACCCTGTTTATGAAAGGACTCAATGTGAAGAACAGCATAAATATTAGGAATGGGTACCAGTACCATGTAATTTACTATATTGTATTTTTATTTCAGATGCCTGTGGTGCTTCATGAAGAACATTTCCAGATACATCACAGACATTAAGCCTTTGCCTCCCAACATAAAAGATAGACTGATTAAAATAATGAGTGTCCAGGGGCAGATAACAGATTCAAATATAAGTGAGGTAAGAGTATGTACAATTGCAAAGCAAGCATATTATATTTTACTGTTAGATATGGTTTCAGATTTTTGGAGCAATAGCATATAGTAGGCTTAGTTATAATTTTAAAATATAACAAAACATCGGGGTTCTTTTTTTTCTCCAGATAACCAAAATGTTCATGTGTAATAGTTGCTAAAAAATCTCTCACCATTCTTTTAGAGGCTCCCCTTGTCTTCATCATACCAGCACCCTTGATCTCTACATTTTCAAAAAGTTATAAGCTTTTTGATCAATTATACCTCAATAAGGCTGGAAGAAATAAAAATAAAAATGCAGGGTGAATACACAAATGGCAAAAAGAAAAAAAAAAACCCACAGTAAGAAATATATGCTGCATTATGACTCTGGTCCACAAACCACACTCACATGTAACCATACTATGTACAGTACACTTGGATATTTTCTACTTTATTCTGTTATGTCTTATTTCAGTTTACAGAAATGTTGATCAGAGTCTACTAAATTGATTTTATCCATTCATGGATAAAAATCAGCAGTTAAAAGCCACTCTTCTAAATTCTTCTCACTCTTCTGGAGAACTCATTCCTGCTAATTGATACTAATCACTACAACTAAGCTAAAATCGGCTGTTCTATAAGGCAGTAAGTATAGTAAGGCCCTCCAACCTGAATTGAAATCCTAGCTTTGCCACTCTTTCTGACATTGAGCCTCAGTTCTCTTAACTGTAAAATGGGTTTGCAGCCATCATCACTGTCTGCCAAAGACTCTAGTCTACACTGGACTAGTCTACTGTAGAAACTCTGGTTCTAACTACCAGTTGCTGACTTTACTACACATTCTGCCCAAAGCCTATGATCAAAAGGGATCTGATGATAGCACTCTAGCACATGACTGTCCCTGTGACCTCACATTATAATTGCACTTGGATGTGCCATTTGTGTTTCTTCTAACATTAACCTGATGTACCTATAATGGTTTGTTTTCTTCATTTTAGCTTGCATTGGAACATAGACATTTTAGTGTTGTAGTCTGCTTAGCTCTATGGAGGTAGAATAATATCCCCAGGTTCTTACTGTCAGTGATTCTGTGGGTGTATCTAGTTTGTGTGTGGTCCACAGAAGAATAATTATGATGCTACAGAAAACTGGTGGTTTTCTTCTGTTCCCCACCAGCCCCATTTTGTTCTTACCCATTAACCTATATTGCAGTGGCTTAGATTTTTGTTTTATGGCAATCCTTAATATTCATTTAAACCTAATTTTACCTGAATAGAAAAGGGCTAAGGAGTGAAAGAGACAGAAAAAAACGGAAGTATGATTTCTTTGTGCTCTCCCTCAAATCTCCGTCCTTACAAGTCCTACTTACGAAATTATTCAAAAAGCCAGATCTAACATCTGTTACAAAGTTGCATGCATAGTTGGATGGCTCTCTTTGAAATATTTCCTAAATCTTTTTATAGTTGGATGGAGGAGGCCTTTCTAAACATGACACCAAAGTTAGAAACCAAGAAGAAAATTGGTGGATTTGATTACATAACAATATGAACTTCCTTATAGCTAGAAGAAAAAAAACGAAGCAAAGTCAAGTAACAAACTAGGAAAAATATTTGCAATACACATGCAATTCTACAGGTTTGTTATCTTGACAATTTAAAGAATCCCTACAGGGATGCCTGCTGGCTCAGTTGGTTAAGCCTCTGCCTTCAGCTCAGGTCATGATCCCAGGGTCCTGGGATCGAGTCCCGCATCGGGCTCCTTGCTCAGCAGGGAGCCTGCTTCTCCCTCTGCTGCTCTTCCTGCTTGTGCTCTCTCTCGCTATGTCAAGTAAATAAATAAAATCTTAAAAAAAATTTTTTTAAATAAATTAAAAAAATAAAGAATCCCTACAAACCACTAAGAAAAATTAAAACAATACTAAAACAAAGAATCAGGAAATACTCACAGGAAAATATATAAATCACTACTAACATGTAAAAGGAAATTTAACCTCATTAGTAATAAAAGTCGCAGTTTGTCTTTCAGTTTGGCAGACTTAAAAAATAATAATACCCAGTGTTGACAATAGTGTGGGCAATAGTCACTTTTATCTCCTATTGATGGGAGTATAAATTGATTAAAAACCTTTTAGGAGGACAGCTTGCCATTAACTATCAAAAGTTCTAAAAATGTGCTTACTATTGACTCGACAATTTTAGTCCTAGTATTTTTCGAGTTTTATTGAGATATAATTGACATATAACGTGTAAGTTTAAAGCAAACAATATAACGCGATGATTTGATGCATTTATATGTTGCAAAATGATTACCACAGTGTGTTATTTAACATCTCCATCACTTCATATAATTACCATTTACTTCTGACATCAATCCCAAGAAAATAATAATAGGGAAAGCACACAAGTATGCTTATCATAATATTTATAATAACAGTTGACAGTTATATATAGCATATATTATAAGCCAGGCATCTTTACTTCTCACAAAATATTATCCCCATTTTAATAATGAGGACATTGAGGCCCACAAACACATAGAAAAACCAGAGCTTGATCATATTCATAGGGTTCAAACTCGGGCAGTCTGCCTCCAGAAGACATGTTCTTAATCACTATACTATATTGCCTCCTAAATCAGCCTAAAGGTTCAGCTGAAGCGTTTGTCAGTGTAGAATGCATTTAACACGTTATGGTGCATGCATAAAATGGAACAGAATGCACCCACAATAAATTGTTTTTGTAAAAGTGCTCATCTTATAAGTATATATAATCTGATCCCATTTTTCTTCAGTTTTCTTTTTTAACTCAAAAAACATCAGAACTAAGATGTTTTTCTCTGGGTGTTGGTATTATGGTTAATTTTATTTTATTATTATGTTATGTTAATCACCATACATTACATCATTAGTTTTTGAGGCAGTGTTCCATGATTCATTGTTTGCGTATAACACCCAGTGCTCCATTCAGTACGTGCCCTCTTTAATACCCATCACCAGGCTAGCCCATCCCCCTACCCCCTCCCCTCTAGAACCCTCAGTTTGTTTCTCAGAGTCCATAGTCTCTCATGGTTCGTCTCCCCCTCCGATTTAATTTTAGTTATAGTGGATAAAAGCATGGCCTTTAGAATTAGAAAGACCTGGTTTTCGATCCTAGCTCTGCTTTTTTCTTTTTTTTTTTTTTTTGACTATGTACTTTGTGTTACTACTTAAGCTTCAGGTGCCTCAATTCCCTGATTTATAAAATGGCAGTGACCAATCTTTCAGGGGTGTGTCTGTGTTTGAGACAGAATATTAAATGACATAATGTATATAACACACTTAGTACCCTTCCTGGTAAGTTCTCAATAAATAGAAATAGTTATTCTTATCATTTTTATAACTTTTCTATATTGTCTGAATCTTTTACAATAGTACATCTCTTTTATTCAGAAAAGTAAAGCAATTTCTACTTTGGAAAAAAGTAGAAAGCTGCTTGCTTAAGATTCTCTTTCCCTGGGGCTGCGGGTGGCTCAGTGGTTAAGCGTCTGCCTTCGGCTCAGGTCATGATCCCAGGGTCCTGGGATCAAGCCCCACATTGGGCTTCCTGCTTGGCAGGAAGCCTGCTTCTCCCTCTCCCACTCCCCCTGCTTGTGTTCCCTCTCTCACTGTGTCCCTCTCTGTCAAATAAATAAATAAATAAATAAAATCTTAAAAAATAAAAAGATTTCCTCCCTCTCCCTCTGCCCCTTCCCACCCCCTCATTCTAAAAAAAAAAAAGGAAAGAGCGAGCCAAGGAAGAGAGCTCAGAACAGTTTGAAATCGATTTGCTATTAGTTGCCCTTAAGTAAATATTCAGTAATACTGGGTTTGTTTGTACTCGCTCCCAATAAGAATGAAGGAGGTAAATGTTCTAGAAAAGCAATACTCACATCCTATAACCATTCAGTATGTAGAGACTAAATACTCATACCTGCTGAGTAGAGGCACATAGCTAGGATCTCTGATAACAGTCAGGAACTACTGGAAAAAGATAAGCACATGCCAGCACCTTGAATCTGCTTCTCAGGTCTAGTGGGTCCTTACTCTGTACCAGCCACATCAACAATGCCACGTGTCCCAGTAAAGACTTTGAGGGCACTAGAAGCTGTACCTCCAGTTGGAAGTGGGCTTGTTTCTTCCTGCTTTATGTTTTATGTGTCTGCACGCAGATAAGTTTTTGTATTCTTTGCTCTGTTTTCCATCCACCATTTGTCTGTCATGGCCACCAAAACACTCAACATGGAAGAAACATATTTATAAGAAAAATTAAGTTTTCAAAATCATGTATTTTTTACAGATTTTACATCCTGAAGTCCAAACTCTAGATCTGCGAAGCTGTGATATTTCAGACACTGCTCTCCTGCACCTGCGCAACTGCAGAAAACTAAAGAAATTAAATTTAAGTTCCTCAAAAGAAAACAGAATTTCCATAACTTCAAAGGGTATGTTTATTAACACTGAATAAATTGGTAGATTCCTGTTCACCATCTAGTATAATTAATATGTCAAAAGTGAGTATGAAGATGTCAAAGAAACAGAAACTGTATTTATCAATAAAAATATTCAAACTAAGATAAAGAATCCAAATTAGAATTCCTGCTCATAACCATTGCTGTAAGTTAAAAAATACACTGGGTAAGTCACTACTTGTAATCTAAACGTATTTGAAGTAGGCACGCCTGGATGGTGCAGTGGGTTAAGCATCTGACTCTTGGTTTTGGCTCAGGATCATGATCTCAGGGTCATGAAATCAAGCCCTGCATCCAGCTCCACAGTAGTGAGGCGTCTGCTTAGAGGTTCTCTCTCCCTCTCCCTCTGACCTGCCCTCTCAGCCCCGTGCTCTCTCTCTCTCTCTCAAATACATAACTAAATCTTTTTTTTTAAATATCTTTTTTTAAGATTTTATTTATTTGACAGAGAGAGAGAGACAGTGAGAGAGGGAACACAAGCAGGGCGAGTGGGAGAGGGAGAAGCAGGCTTCCCGCCGAGCAGGGAGCCCAATGCGGCGCTCGATCCCAGGACCCCGGGATAATGACCTGAGCCAAAGGCAGACGCCCAAATACATAACTCTGTATGTAGGCGCCCCTCAAATACATAACTAAATCTTTAAAAAGAGAGAGAGAGAAACATATTTTTTTTGAAACATATTTAAATGTGGATGGACTTCCATGTACAAGAGCTCAGAACACTTTGACCTTCGTTTGCTATTTAGCAGTTCATACTTTGTTAAAGCTTTCTTGATGCTAAATTACCACAGAAAGTTAAATCATCATCAGATTAAACTTACTAGGCACTTTCTTATCAGTCTGTACAATGATAGCTTGTTTTTTGTTTTTATGTTTTTTGAATTAAAAAAATTTTTTATCAGAGTAGAGTTGACATACAATGTTATATTAGTTTCAGGTGTACAACTTCGTGATTAGACAACTGTATTTATTCTGCTGTGCTCAGCACAAGTGTAGCTTCCATCTGTCATCATACAGCACTATTACAATACCATTGACTGTATTCCCTATGCTGTACATTTTTTCCCCCTACAATGCATAGTTTTTTATAGCTAGCCAAACTGCATTTTTCAGTGACACTAGAGGATTTTTTACCCTTTTCTTAATCAATAAAGGATTTTAACCTTTTCCTTCAATATAAGAAAGAGGGACTTACTTGGCTAGCTAGGTTTCTGGAAAATGTTTTGAGTAGTTTTCTGTATTTTGCAATTATCTTGGTTAGCAAGTTAGGCTATTCATAATATTACAAAGAAACATAAGTTTTTAAATATTTACACAAATAATGCCTCACTAAAAAGAACTTTATTGCTGGACACTAATAAAACAAAAGTTCTTTCAGGGAGGTGTCCTTTCTTAAGATATGGAGAAGAGTAAAAATGACCTACACATGAATTCACCATCTTCCCTTTTGTGTATTTTGCTCATAAAGTTATCTTTTCACACTGTTATAATGTTTATGCATGACTGAAGGGCCCAGGATCTGCAAAGTACTCTTATTTTTGTGACACATTATCATGTACCAGTCTCCAATGTGCATTTACATCAATTTAACTGGATTTAAAAGTCAAAAGGGGAAGAGAGAATAGAGAGACAGAAGTGTGATTCCTAAGGATAAGCATGAAAACTATCACCTAAGACATTTGGGGAATTTAACTTTTGATTTCCCTTCAGAGTCCACAAGAAAATTAACTTTATTACTTTAAAACTTTTGTTGTAACAAAAAGATTCATCTGTTATTTAATGACCTAATTTGAGGGGCACCTGAGTGGCTCAGTCGTTGAGCGCCTGCCTTCGGCTCAGGTCATGATCCCAGGGTCCTGGGATCAAGCCCCACATCGGGCTCCCTGCTCAGCGGGAAGCCTGCTTCTCCCTCTCCCACTCCCCCTGCTTGTGTTCCCTCTCTCGCTGTGTCTCTCTGTCAAATAAATAAATAAATAAAAATTTTAATGACCTAATTTGATTCTGAATGACTTTTGGCTATTTCCTAAGGGCAAATTTACTTGTCAACAATAAAGGCTTGCCATAAACTACAGCCTATGGTAGACAATTCCTGAAATATTCCAAAAGAGTTTTAATAATGACAGCATCACCTGAAGGTAAGTATATCCTCAGAGATGGACTACTTTGCAAAAGGCTAACATACAGTTGGGTATATCAATACTGGTGATTGCTAAAATGAAAATCAGTCGCATTTCTCATATGTATACATATATAGCTCATTGATACGTAATTGTTTTCCCTCAGGAATAAAAGCTGTGGCTTCCTCTTGTTCATACCTGCATGAAGCTTCTTTGAAAAGATGCTGCAATCTCACTGATGAAGGAGTCCTTGCTCTTGCATTCAACTGCCGGCTGCTAAAGATCATTGATTTAGGTGGCTGTTTAGGTATTACCGATGTGTCCTTACATGCATTAGGAGAAAACTGCCCATTTTTGCAGTGTGTTGATTTTTCAGCTACTCAGGTAAATGAAATATAGACTTGAAATATAAAGACTGTATGTGTTTGCCCAGTGAACTTCCATGACTCATCAGAAGAACATAATTAATTTTTTTGGTTTTTGTTGGAATTGTTGACCACCTCATACTTCAGTGGTTATAGAACTGCAATATAACTTGGCACAATCCCCTCAATTATTTTAAGTAAAGGTGAAAAAGATAAGTGTGGCTAAAACACATGTTTGCTGAATGGGAGGCAATAAAACCATATATAAGTGATTAATAATATTTGGAAAATTTTACTTTCTTCTTTCCCATTTATGTGCCATGTTGATTGTTCTCTTTGCTTAGGTATCTGACGATGGCGTGGTTGCGCTTGTTAATGGATCTTGTGCCAAGAAATTAGAGGTAATTTTAAGATTTCTATAAAGTTGATGCTAATTAAATTTTTATATTATCCTCAGAAATTGTTTTTTGAATGTAGAAAACAACCAGTGCCTTATTATCAATTAGGTGTTTCCATGGCGTGTTTTTGGTTTGGTTTGATTTGGTTTTTGCCTCTACCTCGTTATTTCCAGAGTAAGGAAAAACTGGTAAAGTTAGGAGGTAAAGCATGCTTTAAATAAATACCTATTTTACTTGCAATGAAAGTCCTCATTTTCCAGAAGTTTTAGCTTCTAACACATTGAAGAATAATCTTATTATAGTGAAGATTATGAAAGTTCATCAATGTAAAATGATATTCTTTAGAATTTTCATTACCAGGCCTACTTAGTGGCTTGCCATCCTACTTTCTTAATATACATGCAGGGATCCAGAATATACCTGTCACACAAAAATTATTTTGAGCTAGGGCGCCTGGGTGGCTCAGTCGTTAAGCGTCTGCCTTCCGCTCGGGTCCTGATCCCAGGTTCCTGGGATGGAGCCCCTCATCGGGCTCCTTGCTTAGTGAGAAGCCTGCTTCTCCCACTCCGCCACCTATGTTCCCTCTCTCCCTGTGTCCCTCTCTGTCAAATAAATAAATAAAATCTTAAAAAATAATAATAATAATAATATAGATGTGCTTTTCAATGATGAGCCACATCAGGGGCGCTTGGGTGGCTCAGTTGGTTAAGCATCTCTCTGCCTTCTGCTCAGGTCATGGTCTCAGTGTCCTGGGATCGAGCCCCAGGTGGGCTCCCTGCTCAGAGGGGAGTCTGCTTCTCTCTCTCTCCCTCTGCCCCTCCCTCCTGCTCATGCTCTCTCTCTCTCTCAAATAAATAAGTAAAATCTTAAAAAAAAAATCAGCCACATTAAATTCTTTTTGGAAGTAAACAGGCTATAAATGAATTATAAATGTTAGCAATAACTATCATAAAAGAATAGCAGTACCATGTTTTTGCCAAAATATTTCTCCTTGAGTTATTGCCCAGAGACAATTTTTTTATCTTTTTATATCTAAATCCTGCTTATATGTATGTGTGTGCATGTGTATGTACATATAGTATATATATTTTTACAAATCTTTTGATTAAGAAATTACCATATTTTCTTATACTGAGTTCCAAATTCCAAATTGCATGCTAGCTGTAGGGGCAATAAACTCTGCCATAATGTTTACTGTTTGAAACACTAACATTTGTTGAGCACTGTCCAGCCTCCACACTTACTATTGCTTTATATTCATTAGGTTATTTAATTCTTACAATAACATTATCTTATAATCATCATTTTTTTTTTTTTAAAGATTTTATTTATTTATTTGACAGAGAGAGACACAGCGAGAGAGGGAACACAAGCAGGGGGAGTGGGAGAGGGAGAAGCAGGCTTCCCGCCGAGCAGGGAGCCCGAGGCGGGGCTCGATCCCAGGACCATGGGATCATGACCTGAGCCGAAGGCAGACGCTTAACGACTGAGCCACCCAGGCGCCTCTATAATCATCATTTTTAATAAAGTTCCCCAACAGTTAACACAGTTTATCATTCCCTAATAAAACCACCAGGAAATTAGTTGTCATGCAGTGATAGGAAACATACTTACGTATTTACTTCAGTATTATAAAATTAGGAGCTGGTTACCAACCTAAGCAGACTTAGAAAAAGATGCAGGGGCGCCTGGGTGGCTCAGTCGTTAAGTGTCTGCCTTCGGCTCAGGTCATGATCCCAGGGTCGTGGGATCGAGTCCTACATTGGGCTCCCTGCTCAGCGGGAGGCCTGCTTCTCTCTCTCCCGCTCCCCCTGCTTGTGTTCCCTCTCTTGCTGGGGCTCTCTCTGTCAAATAAATAAATAAAATCTTTTAAAAAAAGAAAAAGATTCAGTTACCAATAAGTGCTGGCGATTATAGTGCCATATCATTGATTTTTTTATTTTTTTCAATTTTCCAAATCTTATTTCTATAAGTGCCAAAACATTTCATTGGAAATCTTTCTAAACTTTATTAGAACTTAATTCCTTCCTTAAACAGAGTAAATATACTTTAACCTTTGTCTCATAGCATCTAGTATTTTTGTGACCACAATTTCTGGCTCAAATTGAAAGATAAACATTTTCATCTTTTTTACTGACTTTTCTCTTGTGGACAATATGTGTTCCTACCTTTTATCACGTGCTCTGTTTTAATCTCTTGCTTTTCATATGTTCTGTTCCTGGAAATTATATTATCGATGTTGCTTAATTGTTTATAATTTGAAAATAAATTCGATCGAAAGTCCAAGGACCTCAGGACACCCAGCTGGCTCAGTCAGTAAAGCGTGCGACTCTTGATCTCGGGGTTATGAGTTCAAGCCCCATATTGGGTGTAGAGTTTACTTAATAATAATAAAAAAAAAAAAAACGGGACGCCTGGGTGGCTCAGTCGGTTAAGCATCTGCCTTCAGCTCAGGTCATAATCCCAGTGCCCTGGGATCAAGTCCTGCATCAGGCTCCTTGCTCTGCAGGGAGCCTACTTCTCCCTCTGCCTGCAGCTCCCCCTGCTTGTACCCTTGCTCACTCTCTCTCGTCACTCTCTCTTGCCTACGCACTCTCTCTCTCTCTAACAAATAAATAAAATCTTAAAAAATAATAATAATAATAAGTCTAAGTAAGGACCTCTCCTAAAGATTGACAAACAACATATTAAAACATTTATTGAATGTCATGATTATTTCTGAAATTTCTGTTGATCTGAGTTCCCAATGGGCAGAGACCATTTTGTTCATCATTTTATCATCATTTTATCCCCATATTTTACTGAAGTTCCAGGCACGAGATAGTCCCTCAATAAATGTTACCATATTAACTTTATATTATGGTCATACTTATAAGTTTCTATAATCTTCATGGTTAAAAGTTTGTTTGCCTGTAGAATTTCATTTATTCAACAAATATTCATTAAGTACCTGCTATGTTCTAGACATTGGTACATCAGAGAACAAAATCTGTTCATAGGATGTATCATTTCTTTCCTTTTTGTTGTTGGTAATTCAGATTATTTTCAGTTTTTAGCTAGTAGAAATAATCATATGTTGGGGTTTATACTTTTTTCTTCCATTGCTGTAATGAACTCCACAAAACAGAAAAAGTGGATCAATAGGTATGGCTACTTTAAGGTCCTAAATTCATATTGTAAAATTGGTTCCCATGAAGGTTATGTTGTAAATTCACAATTTTGCAAGGATCCCAGTTTGCAGCATTGAATCTTTTTTTTATGCCTTAATATATTTTAAATGTTGAACACTATTCCTTCCATCTGTTCTCAAATTGTATTTCTTTGTCTGTAGCCTTCGCCAATTTATATCATAGGACATGTTTGCCAGTTTATAACAAGATGCTTTTTTCCTCAGTTTTTATGAGTTTTCAGTATACTCAGGTTTCCTTTATTTGTAAGATATGATTGATTATAATAGTATACCAACTTAATATCAACTTTTCAGGAGGAAAAAATATTAATACCATAAATATACATGTCAACTATTAGATAAATCTTACTTCCGGAATTCTTAAAATGTCTTTTATTGTGGTCAAATATACACAACAGAAAACTTACCACTTTAACCATTTTTTGTGTACAATTCAGTAGAATTGAGTACATTCATATTGTTGTGAAGCCATACCCACAATCCATCTCCAGAACGTTTTCCTCATCCTACACTGAAACTCGTTACCCATGAAACAATATCTCCCCATTACCCCTTCTCCTCAGCCTCTAGCTACCTCTGTTCTACTTTCTGTCTCTATGAATTTGCCTATTCTAGATAACTCATAAAAGTGGATCATACAATATTTGTCCTTTTCTGTCTGACTTATATCACTTAGCCTAATGTTTTCAAGGTTTATCTGTGTCCCTGCATGTGTCAGAATTTAATTCCTGGGGCGCCTGGGTGGCTCAGTTGGTTAAGTGTCTGCCTTCCAGCTCAGGTCATGATCCCAGGGTCCTGGGATTGAGCCCCGCATCAGGCTCCCTGCTCAGCGGGGAGTCTGCTTCTCCCCCTGCCCCTCCCTCCTGCTTGTGCTCTCTTTCTTTCTCTCAAATAAATAACTAAAATCTTAAAAAAAAAAAAAAAAAGAATGTCATTCCTTTTAAGACCGCATATTTCATTGTATATATATGGTATATTCATATATATATATGTACACATGTGTATATGTTTATATAAGTATGTGTTTATATATGTATGCTTATATGTGTGTATGTATATACATAAACATTTTGTTTATCCATTCATCTTTCAACACTTGTTTCCACCTATTCACTATTGTGAATACTGCTGCTATGAGCATAGGTATACAAATAATCTGTTCTAGTCCCACCTTTCAATTCTTTGGGTATATACCTAGAAGTGAAATAGCTGGATTATATGGCAATGCTGTGTTTAATTTTTTAAGGAACTGCCACACTATTATCACAGTGGCTATACCATTTTACATTCCCACCACCAGTGCAGAAGAATTCCTAATTAGGACATAAAACGAGGGATATATATTTCTAACATATGAAAAAGGATAGAAAGTAATATAACACAAACCGTGGACCAGCCACTTAAATTTTAACATTTTCCGTACTTATTTTAGTTCCTTATTAAAAATTATGTTACCTGTAAAGCTCCCTGCACATTTATTCTCCCTTTCTTCCTTCAAAGTAACCACAGTCTAAAGACACCTGTTTATTTTTCCTTGTATGTTTGTATACTTTACCTATATATGGATAGACACATATAGATATAGATCCATAAACAAGATATTGTATTGTCTTATGTTTTAAACTTTCACATAATAGTTTTATAATATATGTGTTTTATTACAGTTTGCTTTTCACTCAAAATTATGTTTAATTTTTCAAGCTTTATTAAGGTATAACTTGCATGCAATAAAGTTTACCCATTTTAAGTGTACAGTTTGATGAATTTTGATAATTATTATACAGCCTTTAACCACCACCACAATTAGGTATAAAATATTTCCGTCACCCTACAACATTTTCTCCCATCCCTTTGCAATCAGTTCTCTACCTGCTTCCATCCCCAGGCAACCAGTGATTTACTTTGGCATTATAGTTTTAAAGTTTCTAGAATTTCATATAAATGGAGTCATGCCATGCCCAGTTTTTTTGTTTTTTACTCTTTTTTTTAAGATTTTATTTATTTTGACAGAGAGAGAGAGTACAAGCAGCGGGAGTGGCAGGCAAAGGGAGAGGGAGAAGCAGGCTCCCTCCTCAGCAGGAAGCCCGATGTGGGGTTCGATCCCAGGACCCTGGGATCATGACCTGAGCCAAAGGCACTTAACCATCTGAGCCATCCAGGCATCCCTCTTTTACTTCTTTCACTTAGCAAAATGTTTTTGAAATTCATCTATGTTGTTGCATGTGTTACTGTTTCATTACTTTTATTTATTTGTTTATTTTGCTGAGTAGTATTTCATAGTGTGGATATGACACAGTTTGTTCAGAATTGGTGAATGTGCCATTTGATGGACATTTGGGTGGTTCTAATTTTGGACTGTTATGAATACTACTATAGAAATTTGCATACAAGTCTTTTGTGTAGACATACATTTTCATTTTTCTTGGGTAAACACCTAGGAATGGGATTATCATATAGTAAGTACACATTTAGCTTTAAAAGATAAGACCATACTGTTTTCCAAAGTGTCTGAACTAACATTATGTTTGAGATTTATGTCTATTAATACAAGTAGATATTTTTCATGTTAACTGTTTCATCTGTTCCATTAATAAACCACCATTTGTTTATCCATTATCTACTTTTTTACTATTACAAATAGTATTAAAATGAGCACATTTATAAATTGTTTCCTTGGGCACATATACAAGAGTTACTCTGTATAGTGGACATTTTCAATTAGAACTGCTGGGTTCTGGAGTATTCATCTTCAGTTTTAATAGATTTTGCCATATTGCTCTATAATATGGTTGGGCACTTAACTTTTAAATCATCTATATTTTCCAAATTACTGCATACTTACATTAGTCCTTTCTATTGAATGTTTCTTGCAAGTAGATATTTGGTTCTTTTTGTTTGTTGTTTAAAGATTTTTTATTTATTTGAGAGAGAGAGTGCACACAGAGGGAGAGGGAGGGGGAGAAGCAGACCTCCCCGCTGAGCAGAAAGCCTGACAACATGGGGCTTGATCCCAGGACCCTGAGATCATGACCTGAGCTGAAGGCAGCTGCTTAAACAACTGAGCCACCCAGGCACCTCTGTTTGTTGTTTTTTGTTTTATTTATTTGAGTAATCTCTATGCCCAACATGGGGCTCGGACCCATGACCCCAAGATCAAGAGTCTCATGCTCCTCCAACTGAGCCAGCCAGGCACCCCTGGTTCTTTTTGTATCAGAGTAGTTCCCAAGCTTTTTCATGCTGTCATCGTAAATCTGTTTTTTCTTTTGACTATCCTTTCTTTATTTTTAAATAGGAGATTCATATGGGACATTGTGTGAATCTGACTGATGAGGCTGTAGAAGCTGTCCTCACTTGCTGTCCTCAGATACGTATATTACTCTTCCATGGATGCCCCCTAATAACAGGTTAGTATGATAGATTGGGTGGTTCAAATCCTGGCTTCATTTTTTAGTAACTGTGTTACCTTAAGTAAACTACTCAACCCATTCCATTATTCAGTTTCCTCATGTGTAAGATGGATATAATAGCAGTACTTACCTCATAAACTTAGTCATGATAACTGTCTGACAGCACTTTATATGGTGGCTAGTCCATAGTGAAAGCTCAATAAATGTTAGTCATGATGATGATGGTAGGGGTCTTGATAATAAACATGATGTTTTATGTAGACAAAAAAATTCAAGCTTAAAATATTACATCTATTAAATATGCTGAATGACCTGTTGACTCTAATCTCATCAAACTATAACCATTGAGATTCAGACCAATTTGGACTCTTAGGCTAATGTGATAGATACTTCACTGAAGGAGAACAAAGTAGTCACAGCCCATTTGGCCTGTATAAGAGCCATGATACTGGAAATAAAAGGTGCAGCATAGGGAATATAGCCAATGATATTGTATGGTAACAGATGGTAGCTACATTTGTGGTGAGCATAGCTTAACGTATTCAGGACAATTTAGATTCTTAGGCTAATGTGATACTTCACTGAAGGAGAACAAAGTAGTCACAGCCCATGTGGTCTGTGTAAGAGCCATGATACTTGAAATAAAAGGTGCAGCATAGGGAATATAACCAGTGATATTGTTGTATTGTGACAGATGGTAGCTACATTTGTGGTGAGGATAGCATAACATAGAGAGATGTTGAACACTATGTTGTACACCTGAAACTAATGTAATATTGTGTGTCAACTGTACTCCAATAAAAAAAAAACTTTTTTTAAAGAAAAAGGAGGGGCGCCTGGGTCGCTCAGTTGGTTAAGCATCCAACTTTTGATGTCAGCTCAGGTCTTGACCTCAGGTTGTGAGTTCAAGCGTTCAAGCCCCGTGTTGGGCTTCATGGTGGGTGTGGGAGTGTGGAGCCTACTTTAAAAAAAAAAAAAAAGGACTACTAAAGATAGTAAAACATAAAGATTTTACCTTTAAAAATATGTTATTACTTAGGGGGCACCTGGGTGGCTCAGTTTGTTAAGCGTCTGCCTTCAGCTCATGTCATGATCCCGGGGTCCTGGGATCGAGCCCCACGCCGGGCTCCTTGCTCACTGAGGGGTCTGCTTCTCCCTCTCTCTCTGCCCCTCCCCCACTCGTGCTCTCTCTCTCTCTCTCTCTCTCTCTCACTCTCTTTCAAATAAATAAAAATATAATCTTTAAAAGAATATTTTATTACTTATAAAATCTAATAGAGCTAATAGTGATACATAAGAACATAAATTCTAAAATTGCAAAAATATCATTTTGGTGTCACAATTTATATAAAATAATGAATAAGATACTATATTATTGTGGGGAAAAAAGAGCCATGATACTATATATGACTGTGTCCTGAAACCACAGTACCTCAACCCTTTTGCATTACACCTGCAACGGGCCACGTACCACAGTATAACTTGTACCTGACTTGTAAGTCAGCACTGATGTCCAGCCCTTCCAGCTCATTTCTCTAATTACAGTCTAAACAGTTACTCTCTAGGTTGAGTTATGATCCTAGAAATCCTCTTAACAACCTCTGTTCTTTCTTATGTATGGACTGTCAATGTAAACCAAGTGTACAACGGGTTGTATTTTGTTTCAGTGGCATCTATAATGAAGACTAAATCTTTTGGGCCAAGACATTTCTCAAAAAACTAAAGTCAAAAAGGACATTAGAAACTGTTAACTCCTATTTAAAAATAAAGAAACTGTTAACAGTGCTTACCTCCAGGGAAAATTGTGGAGGGACAAGAGTAGGAAAATCCTGCATTATACACCCTTTGTACCTTTTGAATTTTTATCATGTGAATGGTTTTATCTATAAAAATTAGTAATAATAATCTTTAAAAAATCACTTAGAACAAGAAAAACTCATGGGACTGAGTGCAGGGGATTGGTACCGGCATATATTATCGTGGGGTTTGTGAGAAGGCAAACAGAGGTTTTCTGGTCATCAAACAAGGCAGAAAATTGTATTCTAACCAATAGGCTCTTATTTTAAGCTGGAGGAGACCACAGTATATGGAATGTATAACAGCAATCTTTGATAATCTTTCCAGAATACCAATCAAGTTGTGTAAATCCATCCACTGAGCTATGTTTGATCAATATATTGAACAAGCAAGGGGTACTCGTAAAGTGATTCTGTTTTCTTCACACTACTTTATTGCAAATCTGCTCTAAAGAGGCTAATTTTTCCCTACTGCCAGATGAAATCTCAGGTGCCATTGACTTATCATTCTCAGATAGTTAAAATGTCTTGCCATTCTGTATCACTGAAACCTCTCGTTTCGGTAATTAAAATGTCTTAGGTCCATGCAGTAGTCCAAACAAGTTCAAGCTAAAGCTTTTGCTCCTCCAGTCAGCTCAGAGTTGGCTGCAGTGGGTAAGGGGACATTGTTGGTTTCTGTATTCTACCATCCCTCGCTTCTCTTCTTCCTTCCCCAGCTTGCCCACCATGGTTTCTGATCCCACCAATGTTAGTACAGGGTGGGACTGGGATAAGCAAGCACAGAGGTAAGGGAAGGAAAAGTCTTACTTGACCAGTGCTACTGTGATCAAGGCTCAGCACTCCAGGCCCTGTGGGTGAGCTGATCCATCCTCTCCCAAAAGTGGGGCACTTTTGGGGTTCTTCAGGGCCCACTTCCTACCAGCCCCTCATCATTGCATATATCTCCTATCTGTAGTTCTCTTGATTCAAGCCAGCATGTCTCTTCTGGTTAGTAGCTACTATTTTCTCCTTCTCTCCCCAGGCATCCAGCAATAAACCTTCAGTCTCTTTCTGTTCGAGTTTCCTAACTTAGTTGGGTTCCTTTCATGAGCAAAATATAAGGCAAATCCATGGCAGCCCTCATCCCTCCACAGGAAACACATACTTTAGGCAATAAGAGTGCAGATACATCCCAACCTCAGTCTTCTCTTTAGCTACAGAGACTCTCGCCGTAGCCTTTTGCCCTTTAGTTTTCTCAGATGTGGGTCTGATATTAGTGTCCTGTGTCCTCCAAGCCCAAGAGACATATCAGACTCTCCAACCAATCTCCTTAGAGTTTCCTTTCACTGGGCTTGAATGGAAAAGCAAGCACCTCCAGCCCTTGTTCCAGAACTCCAATCACCGCTGTTTTCAGAGAAATCCTTTCTTCAATTTCCAACTCTCCATCCCTTCTCACTTTAACACTTTTGTATCTTTGAATGGATGAAGTGCCATGGATTCCAAAATCAGATCTCAGCCAAGCATTTGCAAGTCATATATAGGTCTGGAATCTCACTGGAATGAGAGGGTAGCTCGTACCTCTAGTCCTGGAACCTTAGCTGAAATAGTTCTATTTTAATGTTCTCTTATATTTGTCTCAGGTTAACTTGACTAGGCAACATATTATAAAATCAACCTTTACTAATTTTACTTTCATTATCTTTCTGGTTACCCTGTGGACACTCTTCTTTGATATTACCCCCAAACTCAGTAAGCGGTCATTTCTTAAAGGTTAGTTGCAGTGTGGAAGATGAAAATATATCAATGAACTTTTTATACACTCACATTACAATCCATTGGCCTGTCTTGTATTTTGATTGGATCTTTTACCCATACGTGATTTTGTAATGTCATGCATTGGCAGTTTGGAAAATATTGGTTCTCTTAGTAATATAGATCTTCCAATGTCGACACATTTTATCATAGCAAAACAATCACATTTGTTAATATCACCATTGGGTAGTTGTCAAGATCATAATGATAGATACAAATTTTCCAAAATCCATTTGAAAGCTAAAATTTTATCATTGGCAACAAACTCTGACATTTGTTTTCTTTGAAGTGATAGGCTTATTTTGCTCTTTTTCAAGAAATAATCTGTGCTGGCTGGGAGGTGGGTGGGGGGACAGGGTAACTGATGATGGGCATTAAGGAGGGCACTTGATGTAATGCGCAGTGGATGATACATGCAGCTGATGAATCACTAAACTCTACCTCTGAAACTAATAATACACTATATGTTAATTAATTTATTTTAAATTAAAAAAAAAAAAGTCTGACAAGTACCCAAGTCTGAATAACCTTAGGTTGTCAGCTGTTCTTTCAAGTAAAAATGATGTTCCATGAATAAAGTGACTATCTTAGCTCACAACCCTAAAAGGGTCTCAGACTGTAGGATCTACAGACCACACTTTGAGAACCATTGCTTTACAGTAAAGAATAATTATCAGTTAACTTTAGCAGTTGGAGCAGGAACACAATATCCCTTTCAAATCACTTCTTATATTTTCATGTGGGTTTACTAGAAGTGAAAGTACACATTAAAATGACAGGAGTTTGAAATCCTTGGAATAGAATAACAGTAGTTTTGACCTAGAAGATTATCTAGGCCAGCATTTACCAACTGTTACTGCTATGTAAATGAACCAAAGATGGCCTCTATGTAGTTTCTTTTTTTTTCTTTTTTAAAGATTTTATTTATTTGAGAGAGAGAGAGCATAAGCCGGGGGAGCCGCAGAGGAGAGGGAGAAGCAGGCTCCCCGCTGAGCAAGGAGCCCGATGCAGGGCTTGATCCCAGGACCCCAGGATCATGACCTGAACTGAAGGCAGATGCCTAACCAACTAAGCCATCCAGGCACCCCTACATAGTTTATTTCTTCATAGCAGATTGGGACTATTGTTCAAAAAGCCACCAGCATCAAATCTTTATTCATTCAATGATTTTAAATACAGCCTAAAGAAGCAGATTTTTAGCATCTAGAGCCTGCCTGCTTTGCATACCCTGAAAAACTGCACTCAAGCCACTCTTGCCCTTTGGAGCTCTCTGACCCAGAGACGCCCTTATCTTGATGCTGAGCAACATCATGACACACAAACCTCCTCTCCAGTCCTCTGGGAATTCCTTTACCCTCCTTCCCTTCTCAGTAGTGCCCCCACCAGATACACCCACACACACACACACAC